AAAAAAAAAAGCTGGAAGTCACTGTTGTCCAAAAGAAAAAAAAAAATAAAGAGTGCTAATGGATCTACAAAATGTTCTGACTAGTGTTGTGCATGTTTAATTGCTTTTTGGCTTTGCCTCCTCCAGATTTAAAGCCATTCCACCTACCCAAGAAAAAAATGCTTGGTGTCTACTGAGATCCTTTAGGTAGAACCTCTGGAGAGTGTCTCTGACTGCTAGTCAACAACTACAACCCCTTTCATCCTGAAGAAGCCAGAGCGGTCATCACCCATACCTCCCTCATGGCAGTTTGGGTTACTTCTTCAGAGGGGGAAATGTTGCAGGCAGTGAGTTAGATAAAAATATTTTAGGCAGTCAGTTAGGGCTAGTCCCTCAAGGAGACAGAATTAAAGACAAGGTGACTTTACAGCTTGAGAGAGATGGATGCTGTCCATTGTGGGCCAGACCTCAAGACAAAAGAGGAAACTAACTGTCTGGTGTTACAGCTCAAGATGCGGCACAAAAACCAGTGGGGACATGGGAGATATTGCCTGTTCTAGAAAAACCCACCTACTTCTCTGTTACCAAAATCTTTCCTTGTCACTTTCTGCTTGCTGTGACAAAATAGCAAGCATCCACAGTTCAAGTATGAAAGGTTTATTCTGGCTTAAAGTTTGTAGGGGTTCCAGTCCATTATTGGCTGGCTCCAAGGCGGGGCAGCGTGGCAGAGGGTCGTGGGAGGGCAGACAGGCAGCCACGGTACTCATCGCGGGCGAGATGCATCCATCCAGGTCATGCCCACAGCGATTCCCTGCTAGCACCACACCCACCTAGACCCCCATCAGCGGCCTACTATGGTACAGCACACCACAGCACATGGCTCTGAACGTGACAATTTCCCCTCCGCTGGAACTTCCCATTTAAATATTCTGTTTAATCACGGTGTTCCAGACAAGAGCAGACCTTAACTGCCCTAAATGGCTGAATCCTAGTTGTTTATTCTGTTCTTTCCTCTTTGCATGACTGGGTTTTCTTCACCGTTCGTGTCTCAGCTCAAATTTTATATTGTCATCTGGGTGTGTCGGGGCTCCCCTGTAACCTCAGCACTCAGGAGGCTGAGTCCGGAGGACTGGCTCGAGTTCAAGGCCAGCCTGGGCTACATAGTGAGCTCAAGGCCAGCCTGAACCGCATAGTGCAAGTTTGTATAGAACAAAAGAATTATGTCAGAAAAGCCCTCTCTTATTTACTTCCATAAAGAAGTCTCTCTTAAATTACTTTGTGGGGCCGGAGAGATGGCTCAGTAGAATAACCGCTTCCCTAAACTCAGCACAAGGTCCTGAGTTTAATCTCCAGTTCTGAAAAAAAAAAAAAAAACTTTGTAATTCATACCTCTATTTTAATTTTCCCAATGTGAAGCATTCTAATGTCTTTGTTCTATGTGAAATCTGTGTTATTTGGTGGTGTGCTAACAGGTTGGCACTCAGGAAAAACTCACTTGTAGGATTTGCCAGTTCTCACTCTGTAGGTGGGTTTCCCCTGCTTGACTTCAGGCTACCCACACAGGATCATGGTGATTGCTCTTCTTTTTTTGTATTTAGGAAAGGGCTACAGGGTCTGCAGGGTCTACAGGGTCTCACTATGGAGATCGGACTCCTAGTGATTCTCCTGTGTTCAGCCTCCCAAGCGCTGCGATTACAGGTACGCCACCATACCCAGTCTCAATTGCTGTCTCAGTGCATCCTGGGGGTAGGACCGGCACAGAACACTGGGGATCGAAACCCTGACCCCTGCATCTGCCTAAGCAGGTGCTTTGGTCTGCTGATTGCTCATCTTGGTGGTCAACATGACTGGTGTGAGAGACACCGAGGAGCTAAGGTAAGTGCAGCCCTGGGTATGTTTGGTGGGTTATGGGGGTTGGACCTGGGGTGCTGTGTCTGACCCCTGGCTCCCTTCTGCCTTCCCTGTACTCTGCTTCTTGGGCATCCTGAGCAAGCACCTTCCTCTGCCGTGCCCCCTGCTGTGTTGTCTCTGCGCTGGAGTCAGGTAACCATAGCTGGGAACCTTCCAAACCAGGGGCCAGAACGAGGCTTTCCTCCCTTAGGTTGCCGGGGTCAGCTGCTGTCCCTGCCATGGTAGGCTGCCCAATGCGGTCACAAGAGGATGAGCAGAGAAGAGAAGGCCTGGCCTCCTGACCTGAGTTTGAGCTGGGGCAGGATAAGCTGCTTTTTCTTCTTCTTTTTTTTGTAGAACTGGGGATTGAACTCAAGCCCTTGCACTTGCCAGGGAGGCACTTATACTGAACCATCTCCCCAGTCCCCAAGGATAAGCTTCTGAGAAGCGTGGGCTGTCGTCCCTGCATCCCCAAGGCCTAGCGTGTTGTCCGGCACAACAGTAAGTCATCTACAAATATTTGTTCAACGGAGGAGTGCCTGTCTAGTTCTCTTGTGGTTACTGTTGAGTTTTTCCATTGAGAGTGCTGGAGCCCGAGAGGAAAGGAGTCTGCCCTGGAAGACAGATACGGTAACTGCTAGGGCCACGCGTTGACTCAGTGGGATTCTTGACAAGAACCAGTGCTGAGGGGATCAGAGGAACCCAAGCTGGGAGAAATGGGGGCCGGGGAAACGAGGTGCAGGGCACAGCTCTAATGCTCGCATCCACAGGCGCTGTACGGGAGGCGGACTGCACGCCCGGGAGGGCCTTGGGTGCCAGCGCAGCGGAGCCCGAGGCTGACTGCAGATGGCACCCTTCAGAGTGTGGGGATCTGTTAAGAAGGGGAAAGCGCTGCTTCTAGATCAGACAGACCTTGGCAGCTGTTTTGCTAGGTCCTACTGGACAGCTGTCACATGGATTTAGCGACAGGGAGATGTTGTGAGGCACAGGCAGTGGCTCCACATCCAGGCCAAGTGCGGGGTCAAGGCTTGTGGCCCTCAGAGTGCTCACAAGGGCAGCACACAGCTGAGAACATGCTCTACTTCAGAAGGCCTCCTTGCTGCGCCTGTGTGGGCAGGCCCACGCTCCACCCGTCCAGAGGAGGCACGAGGGCCTGGGTTCTGGCTCACCCAGCAGCAGAGGCCCAGCACACGATGTAGAGCCCTGCTTCTCGTGCTCTGGCTTCCCTGCTGGGGAGAGGGATGGGTGTAGGCTCTGCAGCCCTGCTCCTCCCTGTCTTTATAATGCAGAGGCTCACTGAGTAGTCTTGTGGATTTTACTTTTTCCTTTATATTTTTATCTTTTAAAAAATGTCTCCTCTCTCCTTCTCTCTCCTTCCCTCTCTCCCTCTCTCCCTGCACCCCTCCCCCAGGACCCAGGCTTCCCGCGCTCACAAAGGACTCACAGCTCGCTCCGTCCTGGGAGCAAAGTCCAGCTCTGAAGGTGGCATGTGTGTTGGGACAGGAAAGATGGCTCTCCTTAGCGCTGCAGTGTTGCCCCAAGGGACTTCTGTGCTGCTCACAGAGAGCGGGCAGAGGGCATAGCCCGAGCTCTACCAGCACAGACTGGCACAAGGGGGGCCTTGCGCCCATGATGCTGTCAGTGGGACAGGAACGCCAGGTAAGGGACACCGGCAGGCTTGTCAATGTGAATGTGTTCATGTGTGCATGTGTGCACATTGAGGGCCATTCTATATAATTTTTCGGGAAAACAATTTCATAATTAAATTGTGAATAGGGTTTGTCTGCAACCTAGTCCCTGGCCATTTGAGCCTGCTATAGTACACAGCAAAATAATGCGCTGTGCCTCAGGTCACAGGTGAGGTCTCAATGTCTGAGAAGTTGTGATACCCTGGGGTGAGGTTACATCCGCTGACCTCATCTGGTTCTGGAGATCTCAGTGGTAATAGTAATAGGGTCTCACCTTAGGGAAAGGACAAACTTCTCACTAACCTGTCCTCATCAACATAAAGACCATCATTGGCATAAAAGCACCATGACCATGAGTCGTCGACAGTCCCCTCTCAATTTTCCTCCATCAGTGCATGCCAGGGTTCTGGCTGCCTCGTGGCCTTTGGTCTCCTCTGAACACTGGCCACCCCAGGTCCCCACTGCATTGCCAGCTGGCCTCTTGCTCTTTCTTTTCATCCTGTGCTGTAACACCTGGCAGGACACCAAGAGCTCACTGCTGGGTTCCCCCCGTGAACATGCGCAGCCTGCATGTGAGCACATGCCACAGCCTGCCCAGCGTGCTGTGTGTGGCTGAGCATAGTGTAGAAGCTGCCGATGTGGCCCTGGCGTGCTGTGGCCCTAGGCCCCGGTCTGGGTCTCACCACGGGTTCCTCTTTGTTCCCAAATGTCTGTCTCTGTGTAGATGTAGACAGCTGCACACTCAGTAGGGCCTGCCACGTATACCCGGGTGGGCTGGGGTCTCTCTCCTGTCTCAAGGTACCTGCGCAGCAGCTCCTGGCCCCCTCACCTCACTCCTGGCCTGGACCCTGGACCCTCCCTGCTCCCTCAGAGGCCTGGAGAGGGTGCGCCCTGTCCACCCTGCCCCAGGGGAGGCCTTGTACTTTGGGCCTCTTTGGGGACTCCTGTGCTTGCCTCCTCAGGGACACTGTGGGCAGGGGACTGTCTGCTGGTTCCATAGGGTGCCCTGGAAGTGTCCAGACCCAGGCCTGCCATGGAATGCCAATGTTGGTAGTGCCCTGAGCCTCTACTCTTCACCAGCACCAGCAGGCTGAGCCTTGGTCTGCTGTGGCCAGGTTGCCAACAGCTGGGCTCCACAACACTGTCCTCCGCGTTGGGTAGTACAGCCAGGGTCATGACTGCAACGCTGGGCGAGGGCAGGACAGTGGGCCCAGGACTGCCTTAGAGCTCAGCACTGCACCAGCTGTGACCACGCAGGACGCCAGCTAGGGCCCAGGGTCACCCTCTCCCAGGCCAGAGGAGACTCCAGGCCAGCCCAGCATGGAGCAGAAACACACTCCTCAGCAGGGTGCACTCCTTATGCAGCCCGCTGTGGGGAGGGCCTGAGTTGCAGGCCAGGTGGATGTGACTGGGGACCCACCAGCTTAGCATCAGCCTACAAAGCCCAGGGACTCGCCCACCTACACCCCCCAACCATTGATGGCACAGTGTGGAGCGAGGTGCCACCTACTGGGGACAGTGGGAAGAGGAGCACAGACAGCCCAGGCCTCAGTGTTCAGAGCACTGTGGAGGGGGCCCAGGGACTGCTGCTGCCCCAGCTCACCTGTGTCACCTGGGATGCTGTGCCTTCAGCCCCTGTGGTGGCTGCAGTGCGTTCAGTCCACAGTACCCCTCGGCAGCCCCTCAGTGTTGTGGTGTTGGGGGCCCAGGGCCTTCTCACCCATTCCTCTCCCAAAGCTGGCAGACCAGCATGGTGAGGGTCATTGTCTGCCCGAGAAAGGAAAGATGGTGGCACCGCATTGGTGTGCAGGGTGAGGGCAAGCACCCGATTCTCCAGTGCCCAGGTGACGCTGTGTAACGACCAGTCCCACGAAGCTTCAGGGAGCCACGACTTCACCCACAGGCAACACAGAGCTCCGGGAAGTCACCACATAGCAGCTGATACATGCAATCTTGGGCGAAGGACTCTGAAAATAGCTGTTTTAAGGAAAGCAATGACTTCAAGACAACAGGAAATGATTCGGTGTTCCACTGGGGAAACGTAATAGGCTGGCAAGTCCGTTTTTCTGTGTGAGTGGGGTTGTGGAGACCAAAGCTGGGCCCGAGGATGCTAGACAAGTGGTCTACCATGGAGCCAACATCTCCAACGCTGAGATTTGAATGAAAACCCCAGAAACTGGTCTAGGGAGATAGCTCAGAGGCCCAAGCGCCTGCCTGGGCAGTACAAGGACCTGGGTTCAATTTCTAGTACTGCATGCTGAGTCAGCCCTGCACTGGGCCAGCCACTGAAACTGGGCATGGTGGTGCATGCCTCTAACTCCATTTCTGGGGAGGGGAGACAGGAAGATCACCATGAGTCCAAGAAGCATAGTGAGACCCTGTACCAAATAAATAAATAAAAATTAAAAGAAATATATTAAAGAAAAAAAAAACCCAGAAATCCTTGAGTGGAAATGTACACTAAGTGAAATTAAAAGAGGGCTGGCTAGACAGCTCAGCAGACTAAAGTGCCTGCTTAGGCAGAGTGCAGTGGCTGGGGTTCGATTCCCGGTGTGCTGTGCTGGCCCTGCCTGCAGGGCGTGCAGAGATGGCAACTGAGAGTGGGCATGGTGGCGCACGCCTGTAATCCCAGCACTTAGGAGGCTGAAAACAGGAGAATCACTATGAGTCTGATCTATGTAATGAGACCCCGTATGCCCTGTAAATTCTGTATTTAATACAGAAACAAAAAAAAAAAAAGAAATTAAAAGGCCTCAAAACTAGAGCAGAAAGCAGAAAGAATTCTTGGGCTCCGAGACAAACTAGTCAGACATGCACATCTGGAGAAGAGACAGAAAAAGAAGTGGAAAGAGAATGGTGGGCGCTCACAGGCCCTTTGGGCCAGCGTGAAAAGCCAAGTCTTGAGTTGCCGGGACTCATGAGGGCCTGGAGAATACCTACGGAAGGAAAGCTTTTTCACAGGCAGAATAACAGAATCCTCTGACACCTAGAGAAGAGTAGAAGTATCCAGGCACAGGAAGGCAGAGGGCGCCAGTCAGGTTCAGGTCAACCACATCTACTCCGAGACACGCTATAAGCAGGCTCTCAAGGGCCAAAGGTAGACGCAGAGTCTCAAAGCAGCCTCAGAAGAGAAACCAACAGCACGTGCGCGCCCCGACTGCCCCAACAGCAGACTCTTCAGAGAAACTTTGCAGGCCACAGTAGAGCGGAACGGGATTCTCACAGTGGGGAAGAGGGACTCCTGCGACGTCCAGCCAAGCTGTTTTTATAAACGGAGGGAGGCAGACAGACAAAAGCTGAGCATTCATCACCATTAGCGCTCTACCACAGGAAGGCTGAGGGGCGCCCCTGTGAAGTGAGAGGTGTTGGTGCTGAGACAGAATCAGAAGGCATAAAAAGAGCAACCTGCAGACAAAGCGGAAGCCATAAACATGGTGTGTAAGGCATTCAGGTTTTATTTTGAAGGCTACAACCGAAAAAAAAAAAAAAATTAGCAGTTTAAAAGGTAGGCTAAGTAAGAAGGCACGCAGTGGGAGACCAAGAATCCACCGTGTGGGGAGAATTGGAGGGCAAGAGCTATTTATGGGCAATTTTTGTGTTTTCTTTCTTTTCCAATATGTTAAATTGTACACCATTTCAAAATGTTCTTTTATAATTAAATATTTTTGTAAGCCTCACGGTAGCCACAAAACAAATCTCTGTAAAGTACAAGCTAAAAATAGCAACAAATCACAGCACATTAGGAGAGTAAATAATGTGATTTCAAAAGACGGCTACCCAGGCCTGCCATGCAGGCCCCGCCTCTGCCCCGGGCATGGGGGTGAGGGTGGCGCATGTGCACCTGTAATCCCAGCTCTTGGGAGGCTGTAAACAGGCGGATCACTATGAGTCCAATCTAGTAGTGAGACCCTGAACAGCCTGTAGCCCCTTCCCTAAAATACAAAAAAAGAAAAGAAGAAGACTGTAAAAGACAGAAAAGAACTACAATAAAACTAAGAAATGAATAACAAAATAACAAACACAATGGTGAATTTGATTTCTAGGCTGATCAAGGCAGGAGGAGATGGACCAGGAGAGGGTAGTATTGTTCTAGTCTTATCAGACAGCAGCTGCACAGGGTTGTACAAAAGGGGAGTCATTCACGATGGTGCACGCCTGTAATCCCAGCACTCCGGGAGGCTGAGGCAGGAGGATCACAAGTTTGAGCCTAGTCTGGCCAACTTAGTGTCTTAGCAAGAGCCTGTCTCAGAATAAAAAAATAAAAAGGGCTGAGCTGTCGCTCAGTGAGGAGGGAACTCCTGGGAGGTAGTGGAATCACAGGGGGCATTTACTTGTCAAGGTAAAGCTGCTCAACAGCAAGGTGGGAGTTTTGGGTCAGAGTTTATAGCCACAGACAGGGATTGTGTTTCTATAACCAGCAGAGGGCAGGTGAGGTCCCACAGTTATGTAAAGCGATGGTCCTAAATGGCTTAACATATGCTTCAGTTTTATTTAAAGCAACCGCATGTGTGAGAATTTATCAAATATGTATAGAAATGTACTTAAATGTGTGCAACCTTAGAGACCAATAATACATTTCATGTCTTTAAGTTATTACAGAATTACAATGGAAACTCCATATTCCATCATCCTCGAATTGTGTCAATTTAAGATTAAGGACAGTAACATTTGGCTGAAACTAAACTGCTGTTCTAAAATCAATATTATACCTCCCACTATGCATTGATTCTCTTGATTTGGTCTCTGCATACCTACCCAGCCCTACATGTTGGGGTGAGCAGAGTGTGAGACCCTAACCCTACTCTTCCATATTCAAAGGTCGTGTGGGAGTGATCAGCGAGGTTCCCATAGGATCCAAGCACTGAGGATGGGAGATAAGATTACCATGAGTGGGCTCATGGGGTTGCACAGGGCCAAAAGGTGGGGGACAAGGTCTGGCCCTGGCGGGCTATGGCTGGGCCTCTGGTGCCCTGTGGACTGGGCATTGCGGTGGGGTGCTGGGTTTCTGAGGAGCAGCACGTGTGTGTGGGACAGCACAGTGGCTGCAGGATGGAGGTGGGTGAGGATGTGTGGCCTGGGTGGGCAGGGTGCTCTGATTAGGGTAGGAAGAACCTGCGAGGGCTCCTTCCTTCCGGGTCCTCCTGTGGCGCAGGGACAGCATCTTTGACCCCCAAGGATCTTCTGGGCATACAGGAAGATCTCCAAGTGAGTCCTTGACCTTCCTTCACCAGCAAGTCTTTCCCAGGCTCCTCTTTTCTGAGCGAGCTAGGCCTCAGAACAATCCTGAGAAGCATGAACCCCTTCCTAATAAGATCAGCCTAATTTGGATGTGTCAGGTGTCAGATGCCTCATCTATGCGTGTGTGTGTCGCGCGTGCACATGTGCATATGGGGACTGAACCCACGGCTTTGACACTAAAGCTGCATTGCATTCCCAGCCCACTCCCTATTTCTTGGGAATTTGAGACAGGTCCTTAATAAATTGATATTTTCCCAGACTGGGCCTGAATTTGTGATCCTCCTGTCTCAGCCTCCCAGAGAAGCGTGAGCCACCATGTGCGGCTCTGTATGTTTGAAGACAGGAACCCGCAAGCCCAAGGAAGAACAGCTGAGCAGGACTGCGCCTGTTTAGGCATGAAATAGTGCAGGCAGGCGAAGCGGGAACGAGCCTCGCTGCTCCAGGCAGCTGTCCCCAGCCTTGCTCCTCCCGGCTGGTGGCCAGAACAACCACGGTGGTGGGGTCCTCCAAGATTCCTAGAGCGAATGCGAGGGCAGACACAGCGGGGGGAGGGGGTGGCGTGATGACGCACTTCCGGCCCAGCCACCTTATCTTACCGCCCCCGGCGCAGGGCCTCCTTTCTGAGGGCTGCTGCCTGGAGTCTCAGTTGTCTCTTGTGGAAAGTTCTAGAGGCCACCCGGCGCTACGGTGAGTCGCGCTGAGGGCGGGACAGGTCCCTGAGGGCGGGTAACTCGTCCGTGCAGTGGGCTGCGTTGGCTGGGGCGAGGGGGGCGCTGCCCGGGAGCCGCCGGCTCTGAGGGGGTCTGGCGTCGACGGCCTCAGGAAGCCTCGTCCGTGTGGGCCCCGGTCACCGGTGCCCGCAGCCTGCCCAGTCCGCTGCTTCCTGCCCGGCCGTGTCTGGCGGTCAGGCTGCGGTGGCCCCGCCGTTGGGCACGATGGCGCCGTGGCTGGGAGGCAGAGCCGCCGGAGCCACGCGCGTGCTTCCCGCCAAGATGGCGGGCGCCGCCCTCCTCTGGGCGGGGCGCAGCGGCGCGTGCCGGCCGGTGAGGTGTGGGCGTGTCCACCGGTCGGCGTCTGCGCGGGAGTTGGCGTGTGCACGTGTGATTACTTGTTTGCCTCTGCTCACCTCTGGTGAACCGCGAGTCCGAAGCTGCGTGTTTGACGTGGTTCTTTGCGTGTGAGAGAGACATGAGATTACTGACGGGGCTCGCCTGACGCCCTCCCATCAGGCTCTACTCCTTATTTTACTTTTTTTTTTTTTTCCAGTTTTATGTATTTGCTGCAGGGTCTGCCTACGAAGCTCAGACTCGTAGTGAAACTCCTAGCTCAGACCCCCTTCCCCCAGCGCAGGTATTACAGGGTGTGCCACCACGTGCGCCACCGCCCAGTCTCGTTGGGGGTCAGTGCTCCTGGGGGCTGGGGCCTGGGGCCTGCACTGCAGGTGGTTCCGGGATCGAACCCTGGTCCCTGCACTTGCCTAAGCAGGCATTTAGTCCACTGAGCTATCTTGCCTGCCCCTTCTCACATTTACTTGACTGTTGTTCTGTTGTCGCAATCTGATGATCATTTTGTAATCAGTTGGCTTAAATAGGTGGTTTCTGCCAATAGTGGAGGGTGTTTCTTGCAAGTTTACTGCCCTCTTTTTGAGGCTTTTCTTTATGGATCAGCTTCCACGTGCTTTTCCTTATAAAAAAGTAGAGTGTTTTGTGGGTGGTTTCCATTGCTGTTCTTCCAGTTGATTTGCTTTTTATTTTATTCTGTATTTAGGATAGGGCTTACAGGGTCTCACTACATAGATCAAACTCATCGTGATTCTTCTGTTTTTAGCTTCAGCTTCCCAAGTGCTGGGATTACAGGCGTGCACCAACATGCCTTCTCAAATCTCGCCCCAGGGGCAGGGTTGGCATGGCAAGCTGGGAATCAACCCTGGCTGCTGCATGCTGCCTAAGTAGTGATTTGCTTTTTAGATTATCAGCTGTATAGATGAGACCTTTTTGCTTAAGTTTTTTTCTTTCTTTTTTTCCTTTGGCAGAACCAGGGATTGAACTCATGCCCTTGTGCTTGCCAGGGAAGCGCTTATTCTACTGAGCCATCTCCCTGGCCTCAAGTTTTTTTTCTCCTTTTAAAAGGGCCTCATTATGTCTTTTAGGCTGACCTTGAACTTACTATGTAGCCCAGGTTGGCCTCCCAACTTGAAGCTATCCTCCTGCCTCAGCCTCTCAGGAACTGGGATCGTAGGCCTACGCCAGTTTAAGTTGTTTTATGTGTCAGTCCTGTTAAGTACTTACAGGAAGATTGTGATACCATGGTAATTTTAGAAAATTACAGCACACAACTACAATAGGTACTTAATTTAGTATAGATTACTGACTTTGGATAGAAATCCTGTGTGACTTGTGTGGCAGTACTTGTGTGGGTCTATATTGTGTTTTCTTTGGAAGTCCAGTTTTGCCCACTTCTCATTACTAATTCCTTGAATGACCTCTAGTTCCTTTCTGCATTCCCTTGTGTGCTTGGTATCTCACATGAGTCTAGAATAGCTGCTGTAACAAGCAATACCTGAAGAAGAGATGATAGTTCACATAGCCTTCCAAACAGGATGGGTCAGTAGTATTTAGGAATTGTGTTAGGTAGAGTTACTAATAATATAGGGGAAAAAAATTCCTAATCTGAAAGGTACCTGAGATGAGTTTGTGTTCTCTAAAACTGAAGAATGAATTTTAGGAACAAACAGAGGTTAAGAGTAGAATATATTGATTGGGGGAAAGAAAGCTTCTGTCCCAGAGAGGGATAGAAGGGGGGCCTGAGTGGGTAGTTGCCAGGAAGCTGTCTCTTCCAGGGACTTTTATAGAATAAAACCATGTGGTGAGGTGGGTGTATGGTGGTGGAGAACATGGGAACTCGCTTAGGTGGGCATGAGGTGGGACAAAGCTATGGTCAACCAATGAAATTACAAGCACCATTGCTCAGGTAAAATTATTAAATCCAGTACCAAATGGGGAAGCAAGTCAAGTAGCAAGTGGGCATGAATACGGGACAGGATCTCTTCCGGTTGGAGGTTGAATCATTGACTAATTTGGGCTCTTTCAAGGTGATTGATACCTATTTAGAATATCCATCCTTGATGTCCATCCCTAGGGAAGTATGTGACTGTATTTACTTTTTTGTCATGAGCTCTGGGCCACATCGGGAAGGGTCTGTCTCTTCCAAAGTTGTAAGGTCACCTTGTCTTCCATATTGTCCTTGAGGGCCTGGCCCTGTCTGATTGCCTATAATATTTCTAATTTAGCTGCCTACAATGTGATCATTAATGTTTTATCTTCAGGTCCTGAGACCTTTGCCTCTCCCTAAAGAATAAAAGATCATATGATGGCAGGTGTGTCCAAACCCAAGGTGAGCTGGCTTTCATTGTACACACTTATATGTATGTGCATTCGTAAATGTTTTTGTCTGTTTGCATACTTTGCACGTGTTTACATAAATATGGAAGATATTTCGTGTGCAAATTTTTTCCTGACATTTAACTTACATTCAACACAAGTCTTAACTGTATTGCTTGTTTTTTAGACATGTATAAATCTGCATTACCATCTTCATTACTATCATATCAAGGTCTAGAACATTATTAGCAACCCAAAAGCCTTTTTTTATGTCCTCCTTAGCATTTTGTTACTCTGTTATGGGTCAGCTCAGCAAAGTAACCAGATCGCAATCCACATTGGAATTTAAAGAGCCTGTATTACTGCGCTCAGGACCATCAGTCAGTTCTTGTGCAGAAACTGAAGGGCACCTAGCCTGGGAAGGGGTTTTTAAAACAAAAGACCACATCCTGTTTGGTAAAACAAATTCATAACTTGATACAGAACAACACCTTCAGGGTCAGCGTGACCATTACTCAACATATTTTTCTGGGATCATTGTTCATTTCCCTGCACGTGAAGTTTTTGCACAAGAGGTCACAAGGAGTTAAGCACATCCAGCTGCTTTTAGAAGATACTTCTTAAGCTGACTATGCTTACAGAAAAATGGTTACGGGAGGAAGCCTATCCTAGTAAAACAACAAATAGTCTCTAGTTACTAAACAACTTTGGAGGATGAGTACACATTCTTTATCCAACAGAAAGCACAAAGTTTACAATCATAGTACAAAATTTAGTTAACCCATTACACTGATCTCTATTATTGTAGATTTTGTTTGTTCTGGAACTTGGTGTAAATGGAATCTTTCAACATGTACTTGTGTGTCTGCTTTTTTCATGAATCATTTCTGTGAACTTGGCACTCATGCTGTTGCATATACCAATGTTTATTCTTTATCGCTAATTTTCTATCATTTGAGTATACCACATCTTATCTCTCCATTCTATTATAGATGGACTTTAGTTGTTTTCTAGGACAGACAGCAAAGCAGGATTGGAAAATGGCAGAAATATGAGTAACCCAGATAACCCCTGGAGTGTGTACTCAGCTAGTGAGGCATGGCACAAGGTGTTGGTCACTTTCTTTCACGGTGTGCAGTCCTCAGATTCAAACTCAGCTGCTGCACAGCAGGTTCAGCTATAGCTCACATGGTGAGAAGCTCACAATAGAGATATGTTTTTCTCTGGAGAAGTGAGTTCTGACTTACTGACTTACATTTAATAGCTTTCTATTACCAGACTTCCACATTTCACACAAAACTACTGTCATCATATGTGCTTTTCACCAGGCTTTCAGTGCCAGTTTTGACATCATACCTTGAAGTTTGAGTGTAGGATTTGTTTTCAGGACTTGGAGATTTTGGATGATGTGGAGATGCCCTTCAGTGAGAATGAATGGGCCAGCCTCACGTCTGTGGGGAATGCCCTGTACGCAGAAGTGATGGCGGAGAACTGCAAGACCGTGGCTTCCCTGGGTAAGAGTGCCATGCTGGCTGTCTGTGCCTAGGCTCTTGGTGGTGGAAGGGCCTTCCTTTATTAGAAGGCCTCACATGGCAGTGTCCATGATGGGCAGATGGGGAAAGCTCTGGGGTGTACTGACCTCCAAAGAGTATTCCTTTTTTAGTCATACAGTTATTTTTCTTCCCTTCCTGCCTTAGAAGTGATGCTCTGGGCCCATCAGGACTTGAGATACATCTTGGCGCCTTTACCCTAACAATGAATATGCAGATTATCTTGAGAGAACTGGTTCCTTTGTCTACCCTTAGGAATTTCTCTTAGGAGCCATATACTTGTTCTCCACCATGAGAATTTAACATTCTAACCAAGAAAGTCTTGTTTCCCCTGAAGTAGGGATCCACCTCCCATGGTATTTCAGGTTCCCATGGAGCACCTCTGATGCTTCTTCCTGTGTCCCTTCTGAGACTGTAGAGTCCCTCCTACAGTTCATCCAGGAATCACTGTCCCTGTCTCTTCTGCTTGTCTCTGAAGTCTCAGGATGAAGTCGACCTTGTGACTTTGTTCATCATTGTGTCACTTTTTCTTCTTAAGCTGCAGCGTCCATAGATAGACCTGATGCGAACCTGGCACTGGAGGAAGAGAGGGATGCCCTCATCCAGAGGGGCTGGGAGGTTGGTCTTGCTGGTAAGTTAAGCAGGGCTGTGTTTTCCAGCTTGTCTTATGCTTCTCCCTTGGTTACATTAAAAGGAAAGACACATGTTTTCCATGCCCAGCACTGTGGACCATACATCAGGCCCCTTATGTCCATGACTGGTCTGTGTTTCCTTTTAAACTGTTGAGGACAGCGCTCTGCTTCAGTGTTTTACATGATGCAGGGCTTTTTTATCTTTGGGCAAATGAAAGTTTTTGTAAATACTGGTTATGTGGGATCACCTGTTTAGTTTTTCTTGTTTTTACAAAATCACAAAATTTTAATTTGTAGTATTGTCCACTAACCTATAGAAGAATGTAACTTAAGTTTTGCTTTTCATGACAAATTAATGTATCACAATTTACATTTTTATGCTGAACTATTTTAAGACATCTTACTGATACAGTTTTTGTTTCCACTAGAGTACATCACAAAACTAAGAAGATATACTCGCCTAATTTACAGACATTTCATCCAATACGATGAAAGATTTCTGGAAATCCTCAGTGTTGAGCAGACAAGACAAAAGTTAGTTGTTGACCTTTTCTAGTTTTCCTTGTAAAAAGTTAAGAGCCGCCTTAAACTACGGCAACTGCACTTTTTTTTTTCCTGTAAATACCTGGATTTCCATAGATTCTGTGTTCATTAAAGTTACTTGTTCCTGTTGTGCAAAGCAGGCTGCCGTGTTCTTATTCACATAGCTTACAGAGATAGTCATAAGCCGCCATAATCTTCTCATTTAGCATGTACAATTCAGTGCTGTTCAGTATTCATCCATAAGAGTAGTGCAAAAATCACAGTCTACATTTAAAGTGTTCTGTTGCCATCCCCGCGGCCTATGGTATGTTCAAGTCCCATTTCCTTCTTCACCTGCCAGTTCTACTACAAAAAGGGGATGTTGAAGTCTGCCTCTTTACTGTTTTCTGTCTTCAATTTTTATTTTTTCCTTCAAGTATTTTCAGGGTGGTTCTTTTAGGTGTATATTTACAGTTGCTATGTCTTTCTAATAGGTGGATATTTTTTATAAGGCATTTTTTTTACCTTGAGTAACTTGTTTTGGTTTTATCTCATGTCATTATGATACTGTTGCGGGGACTCCAGACAGTGTCTTACTACTACACATAGATGCTCCTTGGTTTGTCATGGGGCCACATCCTAGTAACCCTCTTCTAAGCTGCACACACCATAATTCAGCAACGCTTGCTCTCCACCTAACCTTAACATTGAAGCCGTGGCCTAGCAGCACCAGTGCACACATTCAGCTTGTGCTTATATAGCTGTTCTACAGCCTGTATACAGCCTGCTGCCACTGCCCAGCACAGTGAGTGACTGAATGTTGTGTATCATGGGGCTGTGAGAAGAACGGAATTCGGACATCAGGTGCAGCTGCTATGGACAGGGTCACTCACAAAACTCAAGGAATTGTAACGTGAAACTCATAGGTCAGGGACTGTTGTGTCATTGGAGCTTGTCTTTATATCCAGCCCTCCTGTCGTCTTTCCTGACTCACTTAACTCATCCATATGTTACTAATAGGACTGGGTTTATGTTTTGTTTTGTAATGTTTTCTGCCTTAATGTGTTTTCCTTAATCTGTTCTGTTTCTCTATTTTACTTCCTTTGTTTGCCTTAAATGAAACTTTTTTTGTTGTATGTATTTAATACAGAGTCTATAGGGTCTCACTATGCAGCTCGGACTCATAGTGATCCTCCTGTGTTCAGCCTTCCCAGTGCTGGGATTACAGGTGTGCGCCACCACACCTGGACTTGGTGGCCGGCTCAGTGTACCTGGGGATGGAGCCATAGTGATACGTGATTTCAGGGATCAAACCCCACTCCCTGCACTTGCCTAAGCAAATGCTTTGTCTGCTAAGCTATCTTGCCAGCCTCTATGACTTCTCTCTGTAGATGGCTTGGGAGAAAATGGTTGAGTTTTTTATAAGTTATTGAAGGAAATAAAGTAAATACTTGGTAGGACATACAGATTATGTGAAATTCACATTTCTGTGTCCATAAGCAGAGCTTCAGGCACATGCCCCATGCACACATCACTGGGGGCTGCTCTCACTGCAGCAGTGGAATGGAATTCTTGCTGCAGAAACCATGAGTGGTGAGCCCAGGGACCAGGCAGCCCTAACAGTTCTTAAGCCCTTGTCTGTTGCCACCAGCATGGCCCAGAAGCAGTGTTTTCTCATCACCTGGGATCACCTTGGGTTGGGAATGAGCATGGTAAATGTTGAGCTGTGGTATTGAGGTGGTGGAGGGGGGCCTGATTTCAAGATACCTGTGGGTCAGAGGTCTAATTAGACATACCAGGAATCTAACAAGGAATGAGGTGAATGAGACATTCTGAGAGAGAGAAACTTCTGTGGAAACTAGAAGCCAGCCAAAAACAAGATCAGTGTAACAGTGTAGGTACTCAGTCTGATCTACACAATAGCTTTCAGGAATACATACCTCCCATAAATCTGTGAGGGACAGGCACTGCCCTTGGAATTTGGATGTCCTCAGCTTGAGCTGGATCAAACTGGACAGTGTGTGGACTGTGGCAAAGCCTCGACCTTGACTGTACTTACGCACCAGCGTGCACAGTAGCCAGTGGCCCTCTATGTGCAGCGTACAAGCCTGCTCATGCATGGATAGTACATGAGTGAGTGAGGTCACCCCAGAGGGAAGCCTGCATACAGGAAGTAGAGAGGCTGTTTGCTTCAACTAGCATGTACTACCAGAGCATCCATGCTGGGAAGGAAGCCCATATGGCTCTGCAGTAACGCTGAGGCACAGTTCCACACTGGGGAAGGAGTTAAGGAGGTTAAGGAGTGTTTTAGAGCCTTTGTTTTCAAGTATACAGTCTCATTACTGAACAGCACACACAGGGAGAAGCCCCTTGCCTGCAAGGACCATTGGGGCTCAGGAGTGATATAATGCACTTGGCGTCAGAGAACTACTGGTGGGAAGCCATGTTGTGTAAGGTGCGTGGTAATGTCTTTGCTGGGAGCTCAATTACAGCATGGCTCAGCATCAGACAGCTTACCCTCGGGAGAAAGCCTGCTGGTGTGAGGAGTGAGAAGGCCTGGTACAAAGACAGTTTGCAGTGACGTCAGCAAACCCACCCTCACAAGCCATGTCAGAAGGCTCAGGGTTGGCGCAACACAAGCCTCCGTGACAGTGATTTGCTATGAACATAGACTATGAGGACATCGTGTTTTGAATTCAAGTGCTATTTACGATCAAAATTATTTGCTCAGGAGAGGAACTTCTCAAAGAGGAGGCTCAGTATAACTGCCTGCAGGCCAGTAGGGCCTCCTTTTTTTTTTTTTTTAAATTTATTTATTCATTTTGTGTGTGTGTGTGTGCGGGGCTGGCTGGCATGTGGTGCTGGGGGATTGAACCGCGGTCCCTGTGCTTTGCTAAGCTTGTTCTTAGTAGGTGCTTTAGACCACTGAGCCATCTGACCAGCCCCAGGGCCTCCTCTCTTGCCTGGTCTTTTTTTTTTAATTGAGAAACAAATAGTAATGAAACAGTTTCAGAACAGGATAGTAGGACAGTTACAATAATATATTACATTAGGTTGTCTTCATAGTTATTCCAAGTACAAGATGCAGACATAATATTCTGTCCATTATTAGTACAAATCTCATTAAGAGAAAGCTGTACATCTGTCCCGTTTTCTATATACAGATACAAAATGGTCCTTCATTTATATCCCCCTTTTTCATTTAGTTTCATCAGAGATGGGTATTCCATTGCCATTTAAATATTGTAGGTGCGTGAATTCAGCAAAATAATCCAATATAGTCCAGTAGTCTTAGTGGGTTATCTATAAGACTGTGCAGACCTCAAAAGTCATCTCTGAAATTTCTGGGCTCCAGACCTTGTTCCCTGCTCTAGCTGTGCTTTCTACCACCCTCTTTGGTTTTTTTCCCTATAATTTTATTGAGAAACAAATAGCAATCAAATGAGTAGGATGGTTTCAATAATTAACACATTGCATACTGTCTAGTGGTTATTTGTTGTATAAGATGCAGACATATTCTATTTACAAACACTATTAGAACAAATTCCTCTTCATTGAATTAAGAGAATGTAGCTGTATAGCTATCCTAACCATTTTGAATACACAGATACAAAATAGTCATCTGTATCGCCCCTTTTTTTGTTTAGTTCCGTTATTTAATCTCTTGCCTGGTCCTACTTCTGGCCTTTGACAGTCGTCCCGTCCCCCTTGGAAGCTACACATTCCTTCCTCACCTACCTTGGAGCCCTGGCTCACTCTGCCCCCATGCTTGCCCCTCTTTTCCTCCCTCCTGTTTGTCTTTTCTGGGCTCTCTTGGACCCTTACAAGATGACAGCTTTGAAGATGCCTCTTCTCTTCCTTGCACAGCCTGCTTCTGCCTTGTATGTTTCCCTTGCTGTATGCGGACACAGCACACTCACTGCCCAGTTACACGCCAGGGATCTGTCCTCTGCAGGGGACTCAGTTGTTTGGTTTTAGTTTTTTTATAGCCAAGCTGTCGCTTCCCCTCCAGGGTAGAAATTGCGTGGCTGGAGGCACATGGACCAGGAAGTGTGAACATCTTTCCCTCTCAGTGCAAGTGTGGCGTGCCCATTTGAGTGTAGGTTGTGGAAGTGAGTTACTCGGGAAGGGAGAGGCTGAGAGAAACGGATGGCATTGCTTTAAGACATGGACCTGGGAATGGGAATTGGTCCTGTTTTCCTTCTTCAGGGATGATTTTGGCCAGGAGCCACATACAGCAGAATTCTAGCCACTGGATTTATTTCATACTTTAGAAGAGACAAACATTAAATAAAAGTTAGTTTTCCATCTGGGTCATCTATTCTAGGTCCCAGGGAATAAGTCCCTGTTCTGTAGTCTCCCTGTTTCCCTCCCTCCACAGCTGGGTAGAAGAATGTTTTATGAAGTTGTAAGATCATGTAAGGCAGCAGTTCTCGATGACTTTCAGGAATGGAGTGACAGCATTCCGCTGCCCTATATACCTTCGTGAACTTTCATATTAATCAGAGGCCACTTCCGTGGAGAGAAGTTGTGGCTTAGAATACAGCCATGTGCTGTGTCCTGGTGGTGACGCTCTTCAGGAAACTGTCACCAGGTAGTTTTGCATCTTGAGGGCACCGCAGTGTGCGTTTACATGAATATAGGGTCACATGGGTACAGGGGAAGGGGTGCCCTCAGGAGATGCCACAGACACGAGAGATACCAGGCTGTTGCTGCATCAGGCAGTGTCCTGCGTCACAGTGGAACATCTGCCGAGTGGGCGCACTGGTCACCAGAGACATCCCTCCTGCACAAGCCAGTGGCCTCCGGTCACCACTAGGTGTCTTGTGCCCTGCAGTGGCCTGCAGGTGCTATCACTTGCTGTGGCTGGCAGCACAGTGGCTTTGCTCCTGCCACATCACCACGTACATAGGCAGTGCCTTATGTCACAGCATCTGGGGTTAGAGTGTCATCCCCAGGCCACAGATTTTCCACTCTGTGACCACGTTGCATATGTGGCCTTCCACTGACCAAAGTATGGTTATGTCATCTCTGACTCTGTAAGGAGGCTGGGGCTTGGACAGTGTATTTTGAGACCATTGTGTCCAAGAGCAGAAAACGTGAACTTGTAGTTGGAGCAGCACTGCTGTGTGAAGTCACCAACAGGAGATACTGTGA